GTGCATAGATACCAGGGGTGCTCTTATACAGAGGATAGCCTCAATAACAAGGAATTACCCAGTCCAAAATGTCAATGTTGACGTAGTTGAGAAACCTTGGTCTATAGTCACATATTAGCAAAATAACTCACACCCATTTTCCAGTATCCTATCTCTAAATTTTGATGAAAAGACAAGCCTAAATATGAAAACATGGTTAATTACAATAAGAATGCTTTAATAGTTTTTACCAGGAAACTAATCATATCATTTAAAACTATTAGATGAGGCATCAGGCATTCCCACTAAAAAAAAATTTATTAGCATTAAATCAGCTATCTCAATTTTTCTCTTGTGCTAGAAAACAGAGTATGCACTCCTGCTTCTTGGCCTCAAGAAGAATCACTGTCCCTTAGTTGGCAAATACGAGTGTCCATTGTATCTCTTCAGCCCTTGCAGATACACAAAGAAATACCACAGCTGTTGTTCTCAGTCATGATTATACAACACAAACTTTCACCAGGGAAGTGAAACTCCACCTTCTCTAGGTGTGTCTCTCTGTACCCATGAACCTGGGGAAAGGTCAGAGGTACATAATAACTGAGGGCCACAGAAGGGGGCTTCTTAAGCACCCACCTTGTCTGCAAGCATACAATGAGAAATGTGGACTGGAGGCTAAAAGTGATCATCTCACTTGTCCACACAGCTCTATTTCATTACCAGGAAAATGCTGTTTCATTATCAAGATTTTATGAGGAAAGAAAAGATTCTTACATTTCAAAAATATATTCCAAGGACTGCAACCTTATTCATCACCTTTGCCAGCCAGATGCTCAGAAATCACATGTTTCCCTGAATAAATGGGTTTGTTGAATCATCTGCCCTACTGCCATTAGCATTTATGGCACATCTGGGTGATCACATATAAACACTTTCCAAGTGCATTTATAGGTGGGCAGGAGACTGCAACTTTGGTCCTCTGTTAGCTGATAAGACTCACTTTTCTTACAAAAGAAGCGCTTGAACAGTCAGATCACATTCCTTGCTGGCCCTTCTTACTCTCAACTCCAATTGTGTATGCTACAAATGATTCATGAGGAAAAACCACATATTTATGCAGGCAGCTGGCAGCTTGCGGGGAAGGTTTTAAGGCAAGCAGGGAATTTTGTGTGGAAATCAATTCTTTGCGGAAGTCAATGTATTATGGACATTCAAGCAAGAGAAATTCCAGAGAGAAATTAACTGCCCAAGTAAGCCAGCTCCTTGAGGTGTACATCTATAGTCACTAGAAAAAAAAGTGAGTTAACCCTTCAGGCAGCTCTTAAATATGCATTACCTATTGAGTGGGGAAAGCTTGAGAACTGAGGTTGGGCCTTTAAACACAGAATTCCTTACAAAATTGATTCACAAACCAGAACAAATTCTCCTCAAATTAAATGCATGTCTCCAAAGGGCTCTTCTTCAGAGTTTTTCCACGGACTATCCTAAACAGGGGTCTGGTCATAGGAAATTTCCAACACCTACATAAACATGGGAGACTCTGAGCTCTGGAAGTGGGCAGTCCCTTGCTGTTTGAGAGCAAAGATTTCCCAGCCAGAGGGAATGAGAACAGGTTCACATAGGTTATGTCTTCTGGAAACATGCAGCCTCTTGACAGATAACAAGGAGCTCCTGTCAAAGGAGTCCGAGACTCCGGTGCTAGAGTTGCTGAGGGAAGACAGCTTGGGTGTGAAGTGTTCTAAAAAGCTACAGGTGATGCACGAAAGAACCACCATCAACTTGCTTTTGAAAAGCATGGCAAAGGCCTATTTAAGAAATATACCAGGGAATGCCACAGGCCCCTGGAGACTCAAGCGCATACCACTCATTGGTCCTCACTGGCAAGAAGGTACAAAGCTCAGGTTATGCTTCTCAATGAAACTGCCCTGGACTCACCTCAGCTGCAGGCTGGGCAGGGAGACAAGCAGACCACCTGTGGCTATCAAGACTAAAAAGGAATATCACACTTGAAATATATTTGCACCATGCTGGTTGAAGGTAAGTGAACTGCAAAGGTGACTGACTGCAAGACCAGGTGAATTCCTTACGTTGTGGCTGAGAGTTTGGTCCTGGCTCTGCATCAGGGCAATTTAGGAATAATATAAAACCACAAACCATTGCACAGACTTAAGAATCATATCCCCTGAGATTTCAAGGTCAGACTCAGGTATGTGAGGAGAGAGAGTTTAGGCTTTCAGAGTTGGTTGCCCAAACATTAGGCCATCTTCTTCAAGTCTAAATAAATGCATTGATTTCATTAATACTATCATACCAAAGTCAATGTCCTGGCCTTGGTACAGCTCCATGACTATGGTTATGGTTATGTTATCATTGGAGGGAGCTAGATGAAGAGCACATAGGAATTACCTTATTTAATGCAGCTTCTCATAAGTCTGAAATTATTTTAAAATTACAAGTTTAAAATAAAGAAAACTCCGAATTAATCAGAATTTTCTATCACATCTCTTTCTGTTCCACATATTATACACGTACACACAAATACACGCACACATACACACACACCTTGTTATTGTGGAATCCTCCTTATTATCCCTTTGGAATGAAGGTATGTTTCTAAAATATGTTCTTCAAAGTACTCTGTATATCATCCATACAGGACACAAGAAACTCTAACTCAGCCAAGCATGGTAATCCCAATACTTTGGAAAGCCAAAGTGGGGAGATCACTTGAGACCAAGAGTTTGAGACCCATCTAGGGAGCATAGGTTTTTTTCACATATGCCCAGTTATCACCTATGTCTTTAACTAATGGCACATCACAGACAATAGAATACAAAAAAAAAAAAACTGAATAACAGAAAGCCAATGGCACAACTGAAAAACTGGACTAGACTTTGCAAGATTTAATGCTGATAGCCCAACAGAATCTAAATGCTTCCACTGACTAAACTTATTTTTCAGTCATCAAAATGATTTTAGAACTTTGGAACTTGTTCTTTGCTTTCCTTTTTCTTCCCCCATATAATTTGGTTACAGATTTATACCTTCATTCATTATATTAAATATTTTTTGAGCAACTACCATGTTTTAGACATTGTGCTAGCGTCTAAAAGCTAATGAAAACAGAATTAGAACTTTAAGGTCACCAATGACGAATATGTCAGGAATATACCTAAAGAATCTATATTACCTGTTTAACCTACTAAAACTCCATTCTCAAAACACATGCATTGTATTTTTTTTCTAATTTTGAAAAGTGGACACAAGAGTAAGAAAGTAAATGAAGAGAAATGGAAAGCATTGGAGGGAGAGCAAGCAGCTACTTGTGGAGTCAATTTTTCTATTGCTGACTGGGTATTATTCTACAGGTCATTTTGCAAAGACTCACGCAACCCACAGCTTTTCAGATTACCCTCTGGTTCTCTGCACCTGCAGCCAGCTCAACCCTTCTTCTTGTCAGCCAGTGGCTAGTACTCCTGTCCAGAAGACCACATACTACCCAGAGAGACAAGGACATTCCAGCTTCACACAGCAGGTGAGCTGGGCAACCCTGAGGGTTTACCTTCCTCTAGGCATTTGATGTAGTCAACATTATGCTACCCAGAAAAGTACACAAAAACATGGTTTCTTAAGCCCAAAAGCTTGCAGACATAGAAAGGGCACATAGGAACTCTTTTATTTATTCTTGTAAGTCTGAAATTATTTTAAAAGTAAAAGTTTAAAATAACAACAAAGAAAAATCCTAATAAACATTAGGAGGATTTTTGGCCTGTAGTGGCCAAACAAGTTAAATGCAGCTCCAGCTGTCCTAGGTCTGGGGTCTGGGTTCCTACAGTCCATGTAGTTCTGCTTCCTTTGCTTACTGGCATATTAGCCACTCCCATTAGGCACCTAAAATGGTGTGTAAGTGCTATGCTTGGAACAAACGTAATTAAGAATCTAAGGAAGGTTGACGAGATAACCACTACTTTTACTAGAGGTTATTCAGCTGAAGGTAATTAAAAACAGACGATCAGTGAGAAAGAAGCTCATGCTCCGAGTTCCTCAGAAACTCAGCATAATGACATTGTGGATGCTCAGAGGAGTTTCCTGAAAGAGTGAGGCTTTTAACTCTTTTGATAGATGATCCATGGGATAAAATAATTAGAAAACGGGAAACGAAATGGCTTGCCACTACTCTGATGCACTTGTTCACTCAGGTCTACAGCTACATTTTCCCCCCAAAAATTAATTTCTTAAATGTTTAAACAGAAATTTACCAAGAGAAACCAATGTTAAGTTGTACTAAATAATGGGATTTAAAACTCAAGGTCATTGAAGTGTACTTCATCCTCCTGGAATCTGACATGACCTTATACAACTCATGACTCAGTTTTGAACACTGTTAAAGGACAAAATATGGCCACATTAACATAGTAAGATAGTGAAGGTTTAATAAGAAATTGGCATTGGAATCAAGAGAGACATAAATCAGCACCCAGAGTTGATAGTTCAGGGAGATATTTTAGTTTGCATTATCTAAATGACCAGGAAACGATCAATATCTACTTTGTTTTGCTCCATTACCTATTACTTCAAAAAAGTGTTTCCAGGAATCCTGAGAGGAATGCTTATCTTTATCCTAAAGAACTTGTTTAATGCAAAATTATACATTATTTTCTTGATACAAATATGCAGCAAGTAAACATTTCATACCACACCACCACTAATGCTGCCACCTTAAAGAACTTTTAGAGCAAGCTTATCCAACCCACAGCCCACAGGTAGCATGCAGCCCAAGATGGCTTTGAATGTGGTCCAACACAAATTCATCAACTTTCTTAAACACAGTATGAGGCATTTTTTACAGTTTTTTTTTTCAGCTTATCAGCTATCATTAGCCTTAGTGCATTTTATGTGTGGCCCAAGGTAATTCTTCTTCCAATGTGGCCCAGGGAAGCCAAAAGGTTGGACACCCCTGATTGAGAAAGAACTTTATGCCCTCTCAGTTCTGGTCTTCCTGGTGGATCTGAAGATCTTACCTCTATAACATTGGTGGGGCTGCGGATATAGATGCCAGATGGTGTCAACATTTCAGGATTGGAGAGTCCCTCGGCACCAGAAACCTGGATGATCACGTTGTTTCTTATTATATTTCCATGTCCTGACCAGTCTAATGTTTAAACAAACCCAGAGAATCCACAAACATAATTGAAATGTACACAACTCAACACTCTTGATTCTACTAATACGTATCAGAGTTCACATATGTATTTCATATATATATATAAAAAAAAATACTTAGTATGCACAATAAACTTAAGGGACCCAACATTTTGCCATCAGGCTTGTCTATAAAATATATGACAATTTTAAATACAATGTAATAGATTTAAAATCAATTTACATATTTACCATATTTCCTTCCATGAATTGCCTCCCAAGAGATATATCTCATTTCCATGCATGTCCCTGAGAACAAAAGACCCCGTTACTTGAGTATATTTTATGCCACTTAGGAAAACAAGAGATGCTGCAACACTACTTCTTCTTTGGGTGTGGGTTGTTTTAATTTTGTTTTTGTGTTTTTATCTGTAAATTAGGGAAAGAGCTACAGATCTTATGAACTCTTCAGTTTTAGAGTATCAGGATTCAGAAGTTCATTTTAAATAAAAAGAACAGAAAAATAGATCTGTTTTACTTTTGAGGAGGAGTCTAAGTGACTATCTCCACTGTTAAGTGCCACATATCCTGTGTCAACACCAATCCCATTCCTAGCTGTTCAAACTGGCAACCTACTATCTGCATGCCTTCATCTTCCCTTGGAAGATCTGAAATGTCCTGGAGGAACAAGACGGATAATATCTAGGACCTTCACACCCAAACCACTGAGGCTGGAATAGAAGAGAATAGAAGAGCAGGCATGGGCCATGCTACATAGAGAAATTAGTCACTTAAGTGCTATCAATAAAGATCTGCCCCAAAGAACCCTTCATTACGAAGTATCTGGGCTTCCTCATGTCATTTCATGGGTCTGGGTTTGCATACTTGTTATGTGTGAGATTAAGGGCTTTACCTACCACACATCAATAAAGAAAAATGTTAATTCCCTGACTTGTAATACAATAGATGTCAAAAGCTTATAATTCACAACATTCAAGCACTAAAGGTTAAATTCCTCCTACAGGTTTTCTTCCTTACGTAGTTAATATCTATTCCACATAATTGTTTTCTGCTAAGGTAATACTGTTAGGATACCTTTCTCAATTTCTCCTTGATGTTTCACCTTTCCCTTGCACGGACAAACGTAGGAACAAACAAAGTCAATCCTACATCTGTTAGTTGACTTCCCGGTGGCTGTCCTTTTCTAATCAAAAGATTTTTCTGCACCTGATCACCTCAGTTACCCTTAGTTTTTTGTCTTTTAGAGCTAGAGTGTGTTTTAAAGCAAATGTATCTGATTCATATTTTCTCACTAGACAGTCTCCATCTCAGAATAGAACTTTTATAGCTTTTATCTCAACAGATTGTTCTTAAATGAAACATGTATTTTCCCACTGATAATACTATAGAATTAAATATCAAACAGTATTTAACAAATACTGTTAAATATATTCTTACTTTCAGTGAAAAACTCTGATTTACTTTTTTATTCTGATAAAACTAGAGACCCTTTGTTCCTTAATTCATTCATTTCTTCCAACTAATAGATCTACAATGCACTAGTTAATATGCTAAATATTCAGGAGACAATGTCCTCAAGAAATCCGGTGGTAAAAAGACGTTAATCAGATGACCAGAAATGTGGTATATAATTTTAAATTAAGAAGTACTGATTGGCACTTAAAGAGCTTAAACAGAAGGACTTGTCTGGGAGAGAGGATCTTGCAGGAGGAGAGTAAGTGGCATGAACAGGGCCAGAGAGCTTGTGCAAAGACCCTGAGGAAGGAAAAAGTGTGATCTTTTGAAGGAACTAAAATAAAATATTTTAGTATCACTAGAGTACTAGGAAGAGAAAAAGAACA